TGTACCTTGAATATCTTGAATTAGATTTCTCTTATTTTGCATTATCAACATTGACTAATTTACCACAATATTTGACCTTTGCAAGATAGAGCAAACCTATTTTTTAAAAGCTACTAACAACCAATCACGTCCTTAACTTCTCAGAAAAACTTTTCTCTATATATACCCAAATTTGTCCACAATTAGTATAAAAGCATCCAACTGACAGAGCCTAGTCATGCACAAAAACTCGGCTGATGTGCACGTGGGCATTCAAAGATGGGAGAAAATGGCCCTTCCTGCAGTAGGAAAGGAGGCTCTGCCTCCCACCGTTCCCGTACAATGAGGAACTTGCCAAAAACAGTAAATGTATTGAGATGGTAGAAAACATAACAAAAAACATACACAACACCTTTTACAATTCCATGAATTTGCTCTTGCTTTTTCATTTGCTTATCAAATTCTTCCCCTGAGAGGATAAGTTGAAAAAGTCAATTGATGTCATCATTTAATCTCCATAACTCACTTATTAGGAAGGAAAGAGAAACAAAGTATAGAACATCTTATCCTCTTTAGCTTATGAATTCTTTAAGAATGGGAACCATGTATGTTTTACACATCTGAACTTCCTGTAGTATGTAAAATTGTCTAACTCATGGTGGTCCCCTGGTTTGAAGGAATGAAATACAAGAAATATTTGAATATTTCATTGAATATTTGAAGGAATGAAATAAAAGAAAATGAAAAATTCTTTTAACTTGATTTAGATCATTAAATAATCAAATGTTCTCTTACACATGAATAGTAAGAGTCAAATCTCTCTTTGATTTTCCAGCTATGAAACTAATCAGTGAACTTATAGGTACTGACAGACCACTGAGTAGGTACTTCATATTCAAGTGACTTAAATGAAAAAAGGAACCTGTAAGATATGCCTTCTGCCTAATGAATCACATGACAAGTTTACTTGACAGTGAAAGCAATAAGGAGAGTATAAGACAATATAAAATAACTGCTAATTTTTGTTGTTTCTGAGGCTGTGAATACTATAAAGCTTCAGGAAATTGATGAGGAAAAGAACAGCTTTCTCAGATTAATTACTATTGTAATATAGCTAAGCCATGTCATATAAGCATTTCATTCATGGGCATTCGCAAATTCAAGTATATGTTAGCTTTGAAATTCACACAATTAAAAATTATAATTTTATACACAGTGCTATGTATATTACGCATTGTAAATTGAGATCAAAGAATAATTTTTGATTAGACACATTTTATTCCCTTAATTTTGATTTCTAAATTCACATAACATATGTTTCTTATTTACTCGAGTTACTTGGCTAAATACTAGATTACCTGGAAACCATGATGGCTGACATAGCTAATATTTTGAATATTTTTTAGGTAACTAAACCTCTCTGTACATATTGTTAATGCAGAACTCATTAAACAATGTGAAGTCCAACACCTGAGTCTATGTGGAATAGTCACAAAAGGTCATGGAGTCAGGATATCTGGTATTTTTTCCTGATTCTACATGTATGAAATTACATACCCATGTATAAAATTATGCAATCATGAATAAAACTATTCATTTTCTGTATAATTTTTTTCTAACTTTGAAAAGAGAGGAATGGGAAAAACAACATCTAAATTTCAAATGTTTTAAGAATGTAGTTACTGAAACACAATATTGTGTAGAAATCCGAATTGTAAACAGAAGAGAACAGAAGTATTTTAGCTCAAGACGCTTATTTTTGTTGCAGGTCACCATAACTATCCTAGCTAACGTCAGCAGAAAAGAAAATTATTCCAATTATGTCACGTAGCCAGTAGAACTGATAGGAAGACAGGAGAACCAGGCTTAAAAGGCAGGGTCCAAGGGAAGCTGAAGAGCTGACAATACAGACAAGATCAGCTGGCACCACTGCCACTGGACAGCTCACCTTGCTGCTTCTTGACTCTCTCAGATGACACCACTAATGATGGACACTGCCAAAGCTGTGAATAATTTCTCAATTTTCCCTCTTGCTTTGTTGGGCATATATAGAGAAAAAGAAACATCCTTTTTTGTCTTGGAAGGTGTCTCTGCCAACAAATCTCTACAATGAGGCTTACCCAAAAATGGAGTAGTGTTGAGATATTGCAAAGCAGATACGACAAACATTCTCCACTACATACGTAGGGATCTTGAAATTTCATAAAATAAGATTTCCGACTTCTATTATTCTCTAGTTCATTTATAAAACATTTGGCCCTACTTACTAAGCTGATTTTACAAATACAATGAACCAAAACTTAGATTGTGGAAAACTATTTTCTACAATATTCTCTTGCTTCCAGCAAAATCAAGCTTAGTTTTGTTTCTTGAAGCTAATTTTAAAAAAATAACAAGTGGGTCATTTAATGACATCTTAGGTAAAGATTACAAATGGTCTTTCCAATTTTCTATAGACACATTTCTGAAAATTTGAGGAAAGATTGGAGAGAATTACAAGCTAGCTATTTATAAGAAAAGCATGGCATTACCTTTTATAAGGAAAAAACTCTTTTGTAACATGAATAACAACCACCACAATCTCATGTATTATCTGATTTGTAAGCTTGGATTTTCCTAAGGTAAGACAGCCTGGAGTTTCCCTATTATATTAAAATAATGTAAGATGCAGACTAATTTAAATAATCACAATTATCGTACATTTATCAAGTAGTATCTGTGCATATAAAGCATTTTATGCTTCATGTAAAATAAGTATCCTCTGCTATGAAAGAAATTATCATCAAAGGTAGACATGACAGGCAGGATAACAGCTGAAAAGTGTATTAAGAAATATATGAATTAAAATTAAAGTTAGTACATGCTATAAAATAACACTAGATTTTGTATTTTTCAAGATATAATATGTGATAAGATGTTGTGGCTTTATTAATCATATTTCATTTGTATTCATCATTTTTGTTAAAAAAACTGGAATTGAAGATAATGTTTAATAAATATAGTCAACTTGTGTTTGACAAAGTAGAAAGGAACTACAATGGAGGAAAAACAGTCTTTTTTCAACAAGTTGTTGCTGGAACAACTGGACATCTATATGCCAAAAATAAATCTAGAAACAAACCTTATACCCTTCACAAAAATTAACTCAAAATGTATCCAAAACGTAAACGAAAAATGTGAAACCATAAAACTCCTAGCAAATAACATAAGAGAAAATCTAGACGTCCTTGGGTTTGTTGATGACTTTTTTGATATGATCCATGATAGAATGAGTTGGTATGTTGGACTTCATTAAAAACTTCCACTCTGTGAAAGATAGTGTTCATAGAATGAAAAGACAAGCCACAGACTGAGACAGAATGTTTGCAAAAGATACATTTGACAAAGGACTGTTATCTAAAACAAACAAATAACTCCTAAAGCTCAATAACAAGAAAACAAATGACTCTATTGAAAAATGGGCCAAAGACCTTAACACACACCTCAGCAAAGCAGATATACAGATAGCAAATAAGCATATGAAAAGATGCTCCACATCATATGTTATCACGGAAATGCAAATTAAAGCAACAATGAAATAATACTACACACATATTATTATTACCCAAATCCAGAACACTGACAACTTCAAATGATGGCAATTTTGTGGAGCAACAGGAACTCTCATTTATTGCTGGTGGAAAGCAAAATGGTACAGCCCTTATGGAATATAATTTGGCATTTTCTTATAAAACTAAACATACTCTTGGGGCTGGCCCCGTGGCCAAGTGGTTAAGTTTGTGCGCTCCGTTGCAGGTGGCCCAGTGTTTCGTGGGTTCGAATCCTGGGCGCGGACATGGCACTGCACATCAAACCATGCTGAGGCAGCGTCCCACATGCCACAACTAGAAGGACCCACAATGAAGAATATACAACTATGTACCGGGGGCTTTGGGGAGAAAAAGGAAAAAAATAAAATCTTAAAAAAAAAACAAAAGAAAAGTAAAACAGAAATAGGTGAAAAAAAAAAAACCAAAAAACTAAACATACTCTCACCAATGAGCCCGTACTCACTCTCCTTGGTATCTACAAAGGAATTGAGAATGTAGGTCAATAAATAACCCCACAAACATATGTTTACAGCAGCTTTATTCATAATTGTCAAAACTTGGAAGCAATCACAAGGTCCTTCAGTAGGCGAATGGATAAATGAACTGTGGGATATATCCGGACAAAGAAATGAGCTGTCAAGCTTTGAAAAACATGGAGGGACCTATATTGCATATTGCTAAGTGAAAGAAGCCAATCTGAAAAGGCTACATGATATATGATTCCAATTATATGACATTCTGGAGACAGTAAAAAGATCTGGGGTTGCCAATGATTTGAATGGGGAGGAGGAAAGCATAGGCCGACCACAGAGTTTTAGGGCAGTGAAACTTCTGTATGATAGTCTAATGATAGATACATGTCATCATACATTTGTCCAAGCCCATAGAATGTACAACACCTATAGTTAACCCTAATTAAACTGTGGCTTCTGGATGATAATGATGTGTCAATGTAAGTTCATCAATTGTAAAAAACGTACCACTCTGGTGGAGAGTATTGACTTGGGTGAGGCTATGTATGTGTGAAGGCAGGGAATATAGGAAATCTGCATTTTCTGTTCCTTACTGCTGTGAACCTAAAACTGCTCTAACAAATACAGTTTATTAAAAAAAGATAAAATTTGAGAAATTTTAATCATGATCCATTCTATGCAGTTTGGAAATAAAGCCAAAACCCTAGAGTATCCTAGAAGATACAGGGTGAAGAATTGAAAGACTGAATTGAGTCTGAATTTGATCAAGACTTAACCAAGCAAGCCTGAAATTCTGCTGCAGTATTAGAACTGAGATAACCAAGGTACCTGAATGAAACCCTTTGATATATGGAGTAAGCAGGTTGGAGACCTTTTCATCACAGCAGGAAAATGCTGATCATTCCATAAGTGAAGAATGCAATGATTGATGTAACAATGAGAAATGGGGTCATGGAAGGTGGCAACATAGGAAGATATGTTGGTAATAAGGATGGGGATTCTTGTTGGGGTAAGGGATTAAGGGTACATAATTCGAACCAAAACTATTATTCTGAGAATTAAGAAATAAATATTGGAAAATTGTATTTAAGTAATTTACTCACTTATTCATTATATCAAAATTTATATATTAAGTGCTTCATAGGATCTGGACATTATAGAGAGGTGAACAGACAATGCATAAACAAATCAATTAGGTAGATAGATAATAAGCAGCTTGAATATATTTGGAAAATGGTGCTAAAATATTGTTATGGTTCTTTATAATGTACTTTACTGGCTACTTCTTTGGTTTTGCTCAATTATATTTTTCCCCATTGGAAGGTATCTCAGAAAGTAGTCGCTTCTAACTGGGAAGTTAGGAGGGCATTTCTGTAAAAACTGAAGGAGAGTGATTGGGGATCTCTGGGGAGAGAGACTTGGTTGACTTGTTCAAATAGGATGTAACCCAAGTCAGAAGTCATTTCTGCAGATTCAAGAGATCAAACAGTAGGAAGGATATAGACAATGTGCCAGAGACAATCACATTCAGAGATAAGAAGAATGGCAGATTGTCTGTAAGAAAAAACAACCCTTGGAGCATCATGGAGGAAAATCAGGGAACAAGGTCATGATATTCATTCATTCATATGTCTCATTTATACATTCCATAAATATTTATTGAGTGCTTGCTATGTTTCAGGCATGCGGCTATCAGTAAACAGAAGAGAGCAAAATCTCATCATGAGGCTTTCACTAGAGGGGTGAGTAGACAAGAAATAGTATAAATCATCAAATTCTTTAAAAGGTGATAACAATTATGGAAAAGATAATCAGAGTGTGAGAAAGGGAGAGCCAAAAGGTGTAAACTGCAGTGTCAATATAACAAGAGGTATATATAAACCACAGTGAGATGACAAAGATTTCAAGGAGGTGCAAAAATGAACCATAAAGACATCTAGGGAAAGAGCTCTTCTGGTCACATAATGTACTTGAGGAACATCAAGGAGTCCAGTATCCTTGAAATGGAGTGAATAAACAGGGCGAATGGTAGAAAATGATATCAGAGGGGAAAGGGCTGTGCGTCTAGTTGGAGAGACTATGCGAGACCTGGTAAGTCATTATCATTAAGGCACAGGCTTCCCCTGAGCTCTGAGAGGAGTGGCCATGGAGTGCTTTGTATTTTACAGGATGGCCTTAGCTGCTTTGTTGATGATAGACTGTCAATAGACAGGGTTGGAAGCAGAGAGATACGGCAATATTCTTGCCAAGTGGTTATAGTGACTTGGACCAGGGAAGTAGCACTGGATTTTTTGAGCATAGGCCATGGCAGACAGCACACCAGAAATACTCACAGATGTTTTATTTAACTGTTAATAAAACTCTGGCAGGTAAGTGTTATTTCTTTTCCATAGATAAGGAAAATGAAATAAGAAAATGTTACAAAACTTATTCAGACATAGCATTAGCACTTGACAAACTTGAGTACAAACACAGGTCTATTGGACTAGAAAGCTCATGCTTAATCGTGAGAGAATTAAAAGTTGCTTGACCAACAGGAAAACGCACAACTTTATTCAAAATCTGTGGTCGTGGCCAAATGGGAGATCTCATATTAGACTTGTTCCTGCATATCTGTATCCTAAGATGACAGAACTGGTCTGGTTATTTTTATAACTAGGATTTCGATATTTGCTTTGCTATTTCAGAAATATATTAGTGGCCACAAATTCATAAAGAAACTAGGGCTGTAGCAGTATCATAGTGGGAAAATGTTCAGGCACATGCACATCTTTTCTATTTTTAATTTATAGGAATTGAGCACACAGCATGTTGTAAGTAAGATTAGATGACACTATTGCATTTCAGAGATATAGACATTTGACTCAAGTACATAAATAATAGAAGAATGCATGAAGATGCAGACCATTCTCAATTTATGGAGGTTTCTAAGATTTGGATTCAATCATCAACAATGTTAACTGCTTGACTCCAATGTACCAGGCAGTGAAGTCACAAACATAGGTAAACACACATATGTTGTAGTAGAGAAGGGTATATATTTCTCATGGTTCTACATGAAGTCTTAGCCCTCATACAAAGGGAGAATAAACTTAGTGAAAAAATAAAGTTTTCATTTCCACACTGTCGATATTTAATACATACTACATTTGGAATCACTGCTGATACAGCTTTATGAGTCAACTACTTCCATATGGATGTAAAAGGACAGTCTCTATAATTTGACAGTGCGAGTCTTTCTCAATACTGAAAATCTGGAAAGAATTACAACAAAACATCATTCTAAGTGAGAGATGCCAATTCATATCATTTCTATTTATATAAGAACATTAGAAAAGTAAAAAGCCATATTTACACATTTTATATTTATACTTCTTCTTTCATGCTGAGTACTTCTGATATGAACAAATGTTACATCTGACACTTACTGTTTACCATATAAATAAAACTATGTTTCTTACCTAATCCTTCAACACATAAGACTAGGCAAGCCATAATAACAAAATAAAATGAACCTTAAAAAGTGATGATTAGGAGATACATTTTTTAACATATTAAATTAATGCTATTCAATTGCACTATTTTGTTAAATAAATGCTCTGTAAATTAAGGTATATAATACCTCAAAAATGCTATAAAGACAAAGATCTATAGAGGAACACCATATTATTTGGAAAATATTCCAGAGACTTTGAACGACTTTGTTCAATTCACAGTCATAATCAATAACATTTATGGAATGGTCATGGTTCCTTGCAGTCTAGCAAATAGTTTCCATGAGAGGGAACTCTGCTTTAGTAATGTGGTGCCACATAAATGGTTACAGTAAAAAGTCAGAAAAGTGGAGAAGGTGAGGGCCAATATATATTAGTGATTAAGAGAATAGACTGGAGTTTTTACACTGGAGTGGAAATCCAGGTAAATGATTATGAGCAATTTATATAACTTTTCTGCACCTCTGTGTCTGTTTCTTCATCTGTGAGATTGCAACAAGAGCATTTCCTGTGCATGGGACTTTTTGAGTATGAAATAAATTAATTTCTCTTAGAACAGTGCCTGGTATATGGTATGTTAAATAAGTGTTTGCTTTATGATTAAATATAAATATCTGTTACAGAAAGATTGGAATTCATAAAATGAGTGCAGAAATAGATTCTAGCAGGAAGCACCTTAGCCAAAAGCAATATGGAAGATTCATGCCAGCAGGGAGATTTTGAACCATTTTTGGAACTAGAAGCATGTCTTGTGAAAGAGAAAATAAAATAATATTTATTGGAAACCTGCCATGTACTAGGTACTTTGCATTCATGATTTCATTCAATTCTTCCTACAGTACACTGAGCTTGAGGAAATTGTTACCATTTCATAAAGAAAAATACCAAAAAATAGTACATAAGTTGTAACAATTTCTCTGCCCATAGAGTCAATACAGGGTCTAAACTGATACATACCTGACTCTAAATTAGGTATTATTAATAATTGTTTTCACCTAATAGTATAATTGGCATCTCTTTCTAGAAACTCATATAGCATCCTATTCAAACCCCTGAAATGTTAAGAGTTTTTAATATTTCCTGTAGAATTCCTGTGTCTGTTTGTGGGAAGAAATCATTTGTTTATCCTGTTTATAAAACACCTTATGCTGCCCTGGTTTTTGGGAGGCAAGAATAATTGTATCCATTAACACATGAAGTAATGTAAAGGAAAAAGAATGGGTGGCTCCATGGAAAAGAAACTGACTTTCTTTTTTCTCAAATCCTTCCCTCCATTGCTTTTGATTCTCAAATCCTTTTAGACATAAGATTGTAAGCAAGCAACAGGTAAAGAGTAATTAAAGGGACACCACACTTGGATGAAGATGCACCAGTGGTGGAGGAGGAAAAGAGGAAGTGATTCACAGTCATAAGGTCTTAGAAAAACTTGAAACACAGGAAGTCATTTCTCCGATAAATCGCGTGAGTGATACCAGGGAAGAATTTCCACTCTCCTCTTCAAGGAATCATGTATGACTGGAGGAAATGATCAGACATTGAAAATTTAATATTTTTTGCATTTTAATATTGAAATGTAATCTGAAGATTTCTGTTACTTTGTATTAAAATAATTATTAATTGTGTCTTGGGCTCTTTATTTACTTATTTTCTTTTTCTTGGGCTCTTTAGAACGCTATATTTTATGACCAGATACAGTGAATGGCCTTGTTATTCTTGGTGTAACAGTACCACACACTTTCACAAAATAGTTTAAAAGCTTTGTGCCTGAGCTTTATTGAGAGAGAGAAAACAAATTCAATTCAGGATTATGGTAAATATTTCAGTGAGTTTCATGTGGAATGAACGAAGTAGAAAAAGTGTTTCCAACATCCTTTTCCTTTCCTCCTTTCTTAATGAGAGTGACCTTCATTCTTGGCTGTCACAAGCTGCCCAGAGCCTCATCCTGCCCCAGCATGACCAAGACACCAGTTCTGCTTCTCTAAAGTGTCCTCCAGAATGCTCTCTTCACTCCTGTCCCAATCTTCTAGGAGCCTGGCTTTCATTTCGCTTAGATTCTGGAACAGCTGCAATAATAAACTCAGTAAAGTGTCTTCTTATTTGTTAATTGCTTAACGTATGAATTTCCAAAAGTCAACAACTGTCAGAACAATCAGAACCTGTATATTGATAGATACTCTAATCTTCATCCAACTGTGAAAGAACATTGAAAATGGTGAAATTGGTTCTGCGACATCCTAAAGTTGCAGAAGGCTAAATATTTTGTGTAGTTTGCTCTTTCCGGTAACTTTCAAGGCCCTTCTTGCAGGTAGCTGACAATTCTCTCTTATGCAAGTCCAAGTTCCCCTCTAAGTCCAGGGCAGCCTGTTTTGTTTCATCCTGATGAAAGTTTTGTTATCCCTTCACGGGAATGAATTATAAACACACCTACAGTGGCTTGTCTTTACCTCTTGCCTAGTGCTGCAAGATCTAACTATTTTATGTAAGAACACTTGCTTACTTTATAAGCACACGGAAATGCACAAGTCCTTGTTCTAATGCTTTCTACAAAACAAGCAAATGCTCTGGAAAATAACACTTGAACAAAAATGTCATCAACGAGCCAAGCATTTTAAGGGAACGTTCAACCTGCTCTGATAAACAGATGTTGTCAAATAAAACATGTAATTTAACAGAAATGAGATAGGAAAGATCAACTGCCAAACCATTCTTAAGGGGAAAAAAATCTTGACATTTAGGAAAATGCATCTTTTGGAAGCCACTTGTCATGTAGTCACATATTCATTTTCAAGGTTATCATAGTAAATTACAGTGACCCTGCATCTCATCAGACACTGTTCTTTTCCATAATTGATCATCTCTTCTTTCATATGTGTGGAGCTGGGCTCTTACGTTTGCAATGCTTGAATGTATAACTCCAAAAAGGAGTTCTGATGTACACATTTTTAAAAGATTCGCTTATTGCAAATATACCACGTAAGTGCCAGGACATTATGGAAATAATACATTTTCTTTAAGTTAGGTCCAATTACTGTGCAAGTCTGTTTGGCTATCAGTAAGAGACATGATTGCTAAGTCAGCTGGCTCATGTCCTAAAGCACTTGAAATATAAGGAGGATACTCTTTTAAAAAATAATGATTAATTACTTTAATTTCATTCATTTTTTTTTGTATGAAATATTAGCGTTGGGAATTGTAAAGAAGAGAAAAAATTATATCCGGAGGTATTGGATAAATAAGTACAGAAGGTATGTGGCTGTATATATGTATGAAACATATTCATACAAAATCATATCAGCTCTGCTGAAAAATTTAAAGCTCAATGTAACTTCTAATATAAATGATTTTTATTAAAATTTATTCCTGACTCTTTTTTTCTAATTCAGAACGCAGCACATATTCCTACTGAATTGAAGGTAAATCAGAAGTTTATTGTTCAGAGACATTCAGCTCTTGTTTTCCCTGCTGACACTACCAATATGAATAATGACAAGGCCAGTGATGAGGGTGTTTTTGTGATGCAAATCTCTCCATGGGGAGAGGATTGCGGTTATCATGAGTTTATTTCACAATTCAGCTTCTTTTCTAGCGAGCCTCTATGATGAGATCGACTGTGCCCTTTCTCTACTGGAAAGTGAACTTCCAGTGGATCACAGCACAACTGATTAGCGTCCTTCAGCCACCCAGTCGTCAGTGCCTGAGGACTCCAGATCCACGGGGAGATCGGCACCTCTTATTATGGTGGTTAAAATGAGCAGCGATGCTCCACTGTGGCGCAGTTTAGCTCATTTTAAGGATGCAGAAAATCTGCCAGTGTGTATTTGTGGAAGAAAATTTGGTCACATTTCATTATCAGCTATATTGACTTCATAATTATCTATCTTTTTACACCAACACAATTGTTTCATCTATTGTGAATTATCCTATGACCCGCGCCCCCCCCCCACCTACTCACTCCCTCTATAAACTTCCCGATAGAACTAACCACTGTCGCAGTATGTCGTGATTATTGATAAACAAGTTTCCTCAACTAGACTGTGATCTTTTTGAGGCCTGGGGCATCAATGAGCTTCAGGACAGGCAAGAACTACAGGGCTGGCAAAGTGTTTGGGATATAACATACGTTCCATTCATCGACCCCTTACAAAAAGCAGTAATGTATCAGATGCCACTTGTTAAAAATGGCTTTTTCTAGTTTTATTTTCTGTAACTAATAAATACCAGAAGAATCTAATGTGACCGTCTTTGTCAATGGCCATACAGAACATGTGAAAAAATGCTTAAAGCAAATAATTAGACAGACAATTTTCTACTGCAATTGATCACAGAGAATATTTTTATGAAGCAATTTGTGGGACAAGATTTCTACCCAACATACTTCAGGAGATGCTCATCTGAATACTTATTAGCAATGTTCACTTGGACTATGTTGCACATACAATGAATCATATGATCAAGTATTTATTTAACCATATAAAGTCATTATGAGAAATATGTTCTTAGATGTATTTCTCTATGGATTTTACACACACACACAGGAAAATAGAAAAAGACTTTCTTGATATCATTAGACATGGTTTACACATGGCAATTTTGTGTGACAATTTGGAAATTGTCTGATTACTGTGGTCAGTTCTTAGAGAACTATAAATTAGATTATGAGGCGTGCTGCAGAATTTATTTCAGGTCCCAAATTTATTTATTTCTGTTTCTTTTCTCCTACACTTTCTCTTTTCTTTTCTTTTTTTTTTTTGAGGAAGGTTAGCCCTGAGCTAACATCTGCTGCCAATCCTCCTCTCTTTGCTGAGGAAGACTGGCCCTGAGCTAACATCTGTGCCCATCATCCTCTACTTTATATGTGGGACGCCTACCACAGCATGGCTTGATAAGTGGTGGGTAGGTCCACGCTTGGGATCCGAACCAGCGGATCTCAGGCCACCGAAGCAGAGTGTGCCAACTTAACTGCTGTGCCACTGGGCCGGCCCCTACACTTTCTTTTTCTTTTCCATATTTGAAAAAAAGAAAAAAATTATTGACAAAAGTTCACTTTCTTTGCTTCTGATTAAATAACATTCTGCTCTATTGAAGTCTTTCTCCCCACCCCCATCCTCTCTCTCTCTCTTCCACAAGCCTTGTTTCTTTCCCTCATTCTGCAATCAGTCTCTAGTAAAGATACACTTCTCAGAAACAAGACTAGATCATCACGGTTACTAGTGACAAACAGAAAAGAAGTGCACACAAGCAAGCTTAAGCTCAATTAGACCCACAGGGAAAAATCAAGGACACGGAAAAGAACAGCCACAAGGAATGAGGTTGTATCTTCCAACTTGTACACAAAGGAGAATAAAAAGGAACAAAATTCTGGATTCCAAGGCCCAGTTGACGTCACCATATGAAAAGTAAAGTGCAAACTGAAGGCAATTAACTGGATAGTTGGAGCAAAACCAAACAATTTTGCTTCAGTTAAATGGTTACTTCACTTGAAAGTAATTTTGGACTAGAATTCTCCTGAATGCTCTGATAAAATTATTCATTAATCTGTTACAGGAGTGGGAGGGATAATTTATCATCTCTAAGGGCCTCCCCTTGAAATGAAGTAACAGTTTTTCAAGTCAAGAAAGGGACAGGTGGGAAATCTTATCTATTAATGACCATGTGGTTGTGGTCTTTGTGGTTTTATCCTCAGCCTATTTCTCACATCTCTGTCAATGTGCAGTCTACTTCTAAAGTTTGTCCTCTGCCCTTCCTATATGAACCAGTTGGGAAATCTGGAGATCTGGATATTCTCAACAGAGTTCTGCAGAATTAAGTTCATGGTTTTAATTATTTCAATTCTGATTGTCCAACATATCTGTCCATAAATGACAATTAGAAACAACATTTATTGATTTTTTGCTCTGGACTAAATGCAATAAGCATTGCTCTAACCCACACAGAAACAGTCAAGTTGATAATTATCATTGCAGACAAAGAAATGGAAGCTCCTTGGGGCTGGTCCAGTGGCATAGCGGTTAAGTTTGCACGCTCTGCTTCTGTGGCCTGGGGTTCGCCACGTATAAAAAAGAGGAAGATGTTAGCTCAGGGCCAATTCTTCCTCAGCAAAAGGAGGGGGACTGGTGGTGGATCTAAGCTCAGGGCTAATCTTCCTCACCAAAAGATAAAAAAAAAAAAAAGAAATGGAGGTCCAATAACTCAGATAACTTACCTGAGGTCACACAATTAGGCAGAGATTTACTTGGAATTAATTTCTAGGTTTATCTCACCCTAAACCCATGGATTTCAGTTGATATTTTTTATATTAGTTCTAAGGCATCATTAAAAAATATTAGCTGCTTCTTTTTCTCGTAAGAGTGGGTGTAGAAAATTGAAACACTCACTTATTTTTAGGATCAACGGCCTTCAAACATTTTTTAACATGTTGCATTTAAAAAAATAAAGGAGTACATTCCTCAATACATTTTTATTTTTCTCCATGCAGGAGCCAGAGAGATGATTTAAAAAGGTAAATCAGATTCTGTCATTACCTCACCTGCTCAGAAGCCTCCAATGGCCTATCACACTTTGACTAATATCCAAAATCTTAGCCATGCCAGAAAGCCTCTCATGATCTGGCTTCTCTCCTTCC